TTTACGATACAGTTATTAAATAATAAATTTTAAAATTTTTATAATGAAATTCATTCATTGCTTTTCTACCTGACTGATTTGAATATTTAAAAATAATTTACTATAATTTAAATGTGACATCATTTGTATTTTGCAGTAATATTTTATGTTTTAACAAATTTATTATCACTATTCACTCATTTCTGTTATTTTTCGTGCCAAAAAATGGTAAAATAACAGATGTCGTAAAAAATATGATGTGCTCGTGCTCATGTAAAATTCCCAACCACACATGCTGGAAGATTAATACAAATAGCCATTAGGTTGTGGAAATGGCAAAATATATATATTTTTAATATTTCTATTCAGCAGCTGAAAAATAATCTCTGTAAAATGTAGTGGTGGTTCCAAAGAGCATTTTCCCGCTCAGCGCCAACTGTCATGTATTTGTGCCAGTGTCCTGGAACGTTTTAAAAACTATAATTTCTGCCAGAAGATGGCACTGTATGTCCATATGGTTTCAGATACATGTACATTAGACCTTCTACTCGAAATGAGAGAAGCATGACTCACATACACGTGTTTTTGATTATATAAACAAAAGGGGAAATAAATGTTTCCGAATGGCGTGATTTATGACATCTCTTTAAATCGCACTTTATTCGCACATGGTAGTTGTTTATTGTAAGTAGAGAAGTTTTATTTGCGCTAAAGCGTTGGGTATTTCGGTTTGCAGTTCAGTTTTTAGAAAATATTGTAAGTAGAGAAGTTTTATTTGCGCTAAAGCGTTGGGTATTTCGGTTTGCAGTTCAGTTTTTAGAAAATAATTAGATCTTGTTAGACGTGAATTCTTTCTGCTTTTACCGTTGCAATGTCGAAGTGTCAAAAATGCTTAACAGAGAATGAAATAGCAGAAATGATGCAAAATATTTCAGATATTGATTCTGATATTCTGATATTGATTCTGAAAGATTAACTGAAAGACATTTTCCAAAACTTTGTTCAGAAGAGACTGATAAGAAAATGAGACAACGATGCTTCGTTTGTTCACATTCCCGGAAAAATCCTCCAAAATGGCAAATGAGTTATTACAAGTGTAAGGAATGTAACGTATTACTGTGTGTAGATCCCTGTTTTCAAATTTTTCGTATGAAAAAGAGAATTTTAAGTTATATATTTAGTTTTCAGATGTATAATGTTAAAAGTCATAAAATGGTGAGTACTGAAAATAAAATGTGTAAAATATGCATTTAAACAAGAAATAAGGTAATTAAAGTATATATATAAAAATATTTATAAAGCATAAGCCATTTAAATACTCTATAGAGCATTATTAAACAATGCGTTGATACTTCGGAAATTTCATGGATTTAGGCTTAATAGCAAAAAAGCCCCCGCCCTGGACAGATGCTCGCGTAAGACACTGCCGGCCTCCGCGATAAGCGTGCGTTTCCGTTACGCGGCGCGAAGGGGTTAAGTAATTAAAACAGGAGGGGAGAAAATTTTTGCCAAACTTGCTCTCCTAGCAAGCATGTAGTCTGGCATTTGTTTATTGTATTCCTTATTTTACAAAATTATACCTAACTAAAAATTATTAATATAAGTGCTGTGACTACACTTTCATTGAAAATTTCTCAATCTTTGTGCATTAATTCAATCATTCTATCCTGTCTTTGACCACAACAACATCAAGAATATTTTCAGAAGAAATATTTTGCTTCTGCAACTTTTATCATACTTTTCCATAGCCACCTTCCTTCATTCATGACTTCTTTGGTTTTGGGGGTGCAAATTTGGAAGCCACTCTGTTTTCAGGTGTTTTGATTTTGCATGTTATTTGATTACATCTTGGCCTTATTTCGTCAGATGACATTTAGAACATACTCATAAGAAATGAAGTAATGGAATGGAGAAAAAAGTATAGATTTGAGAGAAATTATTCTTTAAAAATGTTCTATTGGTTGTTTGGACTAAGGGTGAAAAAAAATAATTTCAGTTCTGAGAACCATTTCACTCAGTCTCTGTACAGCAGGAGATAATGGCAACTATCAGGTTGCACACTAATATAAGAGCTGTTTTAATTCTGTAGTCAAAAATTTATAAGAGTCATGTAGTAACTCAGTTTTTACTGTGCATATTGAGAAATAGTTATAAACTTTAAAAAAATGTTCTGTACATCAAGTGAATCCATTCTTTACTGTAGACATGGAATATATGTGCTTAATTATTACTCTTATTAAGTGGAACAGATTTGCTTGGTGTTACGGACTGTACATCAAGTGAGTCCATTCTTTACTGTAGACATGGAATATATTTGCTTGATTATTACTCTTAGAAAGTGAAACAGATTTGCTTGGTGTTATTCGCTTGACATTGCTTTCTCCAATGTGGTATTTTTGGGAATGAGCAGGTCAATTGGCTCGCAGAAAAGGGTGTGAGACTATTACAAATGAATGTTTTGAGATTTTCTTTCAATTCTATCAGGCTTTATATCAAGCAAATAATGGAAAAAAACTTTTAAACTGCAAATTCAAGATAGGATCCCCAGCAGCCCATGGCGGGAAGTTGTTTCCCAGTTTTGGCTCCTGACATAGTTGCTTGTAAGAGCACCTCTATTACATTGGAATTTTTTTTTTTTTTTTTGAACCCTGGCTATCGTTTCTGAAGTTCGGCAGATCTAACGAATAGAGACGACCTTCATCGATATGCGTCACTTCTTGGCAACTCTGAAACAGCACTTTACTGGCATGCTAGAGAACTTTTGAAGCAGTGACTTTGGTTACATTTACGTTCATTTTTTATTGTTTGTTTGCACTTTTGTATTTGCCTTGTCATTGAAATTAATAAAAAAATTTTCTGCAAGATGATTGCTTGAATGAGTACATAACACAAAAAGTAATTCCAGAAGTTGTGTTTAGTATAGTCTCAATTGCATATTGTGAAATAACAGAATTAATCATTGCTTTTATCTTGATATTTGCACTTGACATTTTCTGGTCAGAAAATATTTTTCCTTGAGCTTATTTGTGCAAAAATTCGATGTACAACTCTGGTGGTGCCTTACGGTATAAAACGTTAATGTCTCTTCAGCTGCACGGATTTCATGAACTTATCTTGCACAAAGAAAGCTTACACAAATTTCTGTGACCCTTGAAAATTTTTCTTGTGTTTTACAATCATGATCCTCTAAATGCATTCTTTTGCCACTGAGACGTAAGTGCCACTGTAGACAGTATATTTTATCTAAATTTGTTTCTACCATTTGAGAAACAGATGTACTTCATTTTAAGTTCATCAAAAAATTTGCTTTCACATTTGGCCATTTTGTATGCAAAATAAACAGTTTAACTTGATTTACAAACACACCTAACCATCCAACTTCTTTGTACATTTATAATGCTTGCATGAGTATCTGCAGCAGGTTGTTTGATATAAATAGTTGCAAGAAATTGGACAGAACTGTTTATTTCAACTTTTTGTGAATTGATAGAAAACCCCAAAAATTCCATTGTGAGAGAAAATTTGCTCAGATGCTAATTTTTCAGTTAAAAAACGATATAACTGGATAAAAAAATTCAGTGATATTCCTGCATATGTATAAAATACTTATATGCAACATAATACAGTCAAAAGTCTTTAATATCTGGACTTGTCAGGACTTCGGCGATTCCAGATTATCGATTTTTCCGGATTATAGATCATCAGTTTAAATCTGGTAAGATGGCATGCAGAAATTATAAAATTAAAAATATGAAACTGTAATTTATGAAATAAAGAACAATTATGATCTAAAGGGTATCGAAATTTATAAAAAAAAGTATAATATTTATTTGTTTACTTTATTAAACATTTCTTTCAATGCGCGCATGCGTAAAGCATACATTACACATAGTCAAAATTAGAAAATTGAGTAAAATCCTAGCATACGGTGCAGCCTTGGCGCAATTTTGAAAATTATCGCCAACACCAAAATTGACCCAAAGAACGTCTGTGATTATACTATACACTATATACTATCACTATGTACATAATATATAATATGTATAACTTATATGTATTCTTTGAATGACCCGTTTACTACTCATCGTATATGTCCAGTTTTACTGCTCATCATAAAAGTCGCCAAATCCCGTGTGCACCGGATACTAGGAATAATCCGAAAATTGCAACCAGAAAACTCTATTTTATGTGTATTCATGATATTTATAATGAATTTGATTTAAATCATATCAGAGACGGAGTACATTGAGATGAAATACTACATTTAGTAATGAACTATAAGCCGAATAAAATAAAAACATCTGTCCTAAAGATAAGGATAGTGCTGACAGATCAACTTCCAGTTCATTGTGCGCTGCGATGTTCCCTTCCCCTGCAGAGCAGTGTGAAATTGATAAACAGATTTCAGAATGGTTAGAGAAAAAAAAGATATGCCTTTATCCATTTTTTGCAGCAATTCCACTTTTTGTTTGATGGACATCGAAACATTCTTTTGCTTTGTAGATCCTTTGGCAGTATCCAGCATCGGAAATTCTATTTGACATAATCGAAAGTTCAAGTTTACTTTTATAAAATTGCTCTAACAGTCTGCAAAAAATAATAAGCCGGATCCAATTCAAACATTAAGGAACAACGCAATCTGCAATATTAACTGAAATAGATAATTTCAGCTTAGCTTATACCGTCCATTATACATTAAACGCGTGCATACACGCATATGCACATGTGTAAAGGTATTATGCGCATGCGTGAACGCATTATGCGTTGACACATGCGCAGAAAGTTTGTAGCTTTGAGGTCCGGATTATAGATTATTCCGGATTAACGACTTTTGACTATTACAGTCAATATTACTTATGCTTATATTACATAAGCAGTCATATTTGAAGCCATAACTTGCTTTAAGACAGGAAGTCTGCTCTCAGCTCTTATTTTTACATCTTGAGCATGTTTAGCTAGATATAATGAATAGATTGTCAACTAACATTATGAAGCTAATGTTGTATGTGTCAAATTTTAATTACTTGCATTTTTAGGAGCTGATTTTATAAAGACATCTACGGGCAAAGAAACAGTGAATGCTACATTACCTGTTGGGACTGTCATGGCAAGAGCTATTCATGATTATTTTGATGAAACTGGATGTCAGGTATCTGATATGCCTAGTAGCTGATTTGTTTGATACTAATTTTGGTTTACAGTTTAACTTTCCGGAGACATGTATGAGAAGCTGAAAAGCTTCAGTTTTTAAAATAGACAAAATTTGGCCTTAGATTATTTTTATTATATGGAAATTTTTACTTGAGAGACCTATATCATATTCTCTCAAGAAACATAGTATATTTCTTAAACCCTGTTTGCTGCTGAATGTAAACCATTAAGTTCTGTTCTATGAAGCTTAGTAGTAATTTCCACTTATAAGAATGAAAAATAACAATTTTATGTCTGAAAGAAAGAAAATAAAAGAGAGAGGTCTGATGTGGACAATACCTTCCTTGTATGACCTATTAAATTATACACATTTTTTTGCTTTGCTTCATTTAAACTTATTTACTCGAATTTCATTAGAATTCATTTTATGTTTCTCCTTCAATGAATTCAGTTTTCCCTTCGTGGCAGTGCTAAAGTACATAAAACTCAAGACATCTTCATTAATTGTAAAATACAGAAAAAACTAAAGCACCAAATGCAGTTAAAAACAGTTAAATAAACAATTGAAATTAGAAGAGTTTCTATGCAAAAAAAAGCAACTAAGTTAGCGGGTATGAAAAAAACATTTTCAGTGCACAAAATCAAAATTTATGTTTTGATCTCATTGGGCTAAAAGACACTTAAGTTGATGCACCAACTGACTTAATTCTTTATTCTACCAAGAGTTTCAAATGTAAACAAATGGTGGCCTCCTTGGGCTGAGTGCCATTTTAAAATTGATGATAATTCTACAACTATTGCATGATGCAGATTAACTAAAGCCATAAAAACCTTAATTAGAACATAAGAACAACATAATCTGATCACTTTTAAAGCAAACAATGCACAGTTTACCAGCGTGTAAGAATAAACAATGTGGCCTCATTGAGCTGGGTAATAGTGTGGGAATATATATATTCATATATGTTTGGTGCAGCCGATTGCAACAAAAAAGGGAGATGTACATACTGACGTTACAAAAAAATCTCTTCTGAATCCATTTTACAATTTGTTTTGGAAAAATGAGCCTTTTATTCTCTTCATATGTACAGATGTCATGCGAATACAACCACTCAGATGGACTCGAGCGGTCAAAATGGATATCTTCATTGATATATGAAATCCAAAATTTTTTGCGATTACACTACTTACTTCACACAAGGATGTGAAAAGGGATTTTTGTTTGTTGAAAGGTAGGCGTATAAGGCAGATTTTTAGCATAAGCAAAGCATGTTAGTTAACTTAAGACCTTTCATCCTCTTCTCATTTATTTCTCTCCTAAAAGTAGGATATAGGTGGAAGCCTGGATATAGGTGGAATTCTGGATTTTCAACATTCTCAAATGCAGAATTTCCGAGTTTGTGTAATGTAGACTCATTAATTCTCAATTTTTTTAAGAAAAAATATGCCATTAAGAGATTACATAAATTTAAAACTTTTACATTTCTAGCAGAAGTCAGAGAGAAGTTGAGGCTATAGAAATATTGAACTATTGAACTATAGATGTGGAATTGTTGAAAGTTCATTTAATTATATGGGTAAAAGAATGTAGAATATCCTTGAACACTGTTAACCTAGATATTAAATGGGTTTGTAGTTACCCCTGTAAGGTGAGAATTCTGATATTTCATGCTGATCAGATGCAAAGATTGCTGGAAAACTAGTTTACAGTGATTTTGAGCATGTGTGTTATTTTTAGTCCTTCCTAAGCCAACTTTGAGTACATGCATATATATTTTCTTTCTTCCATAATTTTTTTTTACTGTGATCCATATTGTTTCACATACTTACTTCGAGTCTCAAATTGCAGAACAAGGTTTTAGCAATGTCAATAGTGTACAGCAACGTTTATAGCTCTGACATTTAAGAAAACTATTAGCTCACTCAAGCCATTGATTATAATACTTGACTGTAATTCACTCATTAAAATATACCCAATTTTTTGTACATTTTGAGCCAGTTTTCATTATTAGAAACGAATTTTAATTCCCTTTTAACTTTCTTATATTAAGTATTAATTGCATTCTTGTGGAAAACTGGTGTAACTAACATTGTGTTTAATTTATAAGCATTGGTTCTTCATTCTTGCAATTTTTTAATACTCCTTTAAATCAGAAAAATTGGTTAGTTATGTGCAGAGCAAAATTCAGGAATTCAGTCAGCATGGCAGGCACATGTTGTACAGAATATATTATTACAGATTCAGCAGTGAATAATAAAAAATAGTGCAAGTCTAAAGTGTGAATTTTGCATAATTTTTTCCACCAATAATTATTATGTTTATATAATAATAATGAATGAATAAGTTATCTGTGAATATACTTAGCTATTATGTCATAAGTTTGGATAGAAATAGTGTGCTAGAAAAAGATTTAGACATGTAACATTGTGTCTATGCCATATTTGCACCTTTCTATGTATTGGATATATATTTTAGATATGAAGCTCACATTTTATTTGAAAGGTATTCATTATTTGAGGTAAAATTTTAGGAACAAATGTAAAAATTGTAAATTAGTAAAAATAGTTTACTCAATAGGAATGATAATTTGGAGTATGAAAGAAACTATTATTGACATAGTATATTTAGGAATTTAAATATACAAGTATAATGTCAACTTGTGTAAACTGATTGATTATTTAATGATAATTTTAATATGAAACTGGTTAGTAGTTTCAAATAATTATATAGATCACTTTAAATTCTATATTGCAGATTGGTTTTAAACCGGCTGGAGGAATTAGGACAGCAAAAGATGTTTATTCATGGCAAGCACTTATGGAATATGAACTGAATGATGAATGGCTTACTTCCTCTTTATTTCGTATTGGTGCAAGTGGTTTGTTAGATGACATAGAAGAAAATCTGTTTCGGCTTGCCACTAAAACCTGTGTGAAGAATCCTTTAGTTTCTTATGTACATTGTCCAGAAATATATGGGTAATTTTGTGAGATATATGTAGATGTTTTGAAGAATTAAAAAAGAATGTGACAATTGCTATTCTATTTGAAATATTTATGATACTTACTTGAGGTAAAATGGTAATAAATTGAATGTAGTGTCTTTAACTGTACTTCACAGAAATCCATCTGTTTAACTGTTTTTTGTTGCACAGCATGAAGGAGGACTTCAAATGCTAACAAATTCTCTCCTTTCTTGTTATCTGCTGTATTTTGATTTGTAAATAATATTTCTTTACATAATAAATTATGTATCTAAAATGTTACCTCTCAAATTATTTCATTGCAAAGTTATTTTTTTTTATGTATAATAAGTCTGAATTTTAGTGATCACACTATTAAAAATTGTTTTTGTTAGAGCAGTATTGCTATTAATGTCAACTTTGACAGTGATACAATATTAAATGTACACTGATAATATGTATTTGAACTTTCTAGAAAACACTATATATTGATATGTAGTATAAACATTGACAGCTAGTTGTTTTTTTTTTTTTTTCTAATAGAAAGAGTAGGCTAAAGTCACTTCAGCAGCAGTCATAACAGTACTTGTAACAAGCCTTAATTCAGCAATTCAATTTGTGTAGTGTTTAGCGATGAATCACGCTTCACTCTTGAAGCAGATTACCACCGTGTTCATGTCTGGAGAGGATGGGGCCAGCAGTCCCAATCAGCCTTTGTTTTACAAAGGCGTACAGCCATAACCCCTGGAGTGATGGTGTGGGGTACTATTTCTTATGACAGCTGGTCATCTTTATTCATCCTCCATACATCTTTAACAGCTCAACGATATGTTGATACCATCCTGCGGCCGGTTGCATTACCCTTTATGGCACGTCATCCTGGGATCATTTTCCAACAAGATAATGCCAGGCCACATGCTACTCTCATATCTCTGGACTGTCTCCGTGCGGTTGATATTCTTCCTTGGCCAGCAAGGTCACCAGACTTTTCACCAATCGAGTATGTCTGGTACATGGTGGGCCACCATATTCAGGCACCTTAAAATATCACAGATCTGGAGTGACAACTCATGAATGCCTGGTAGAATGTGTCACAGGTTGACATTAGGAACTTCCAGCACTCCTTGCCTCGGCGATTTAAGCATGCATTGCTGCCAGGGGCAGTTTGACCGACTACTAAATTGAACACTTGGTGGGTGATTGTGAGCCATGAACAGGTACTATGACCTTGATTTTTGATCATTTTAGTATACACATATTCAATTTCATCAAAAACAACCACTTCCTTCATGGTGCTTCGATTCATTTGCAAAAGAGTGAATATTCCCTTTTTATGCTTTGTCTATAGAAGTTTTTCCTGGAAAATCAATACACTTCTTGTCGTGTCTTCTCACTCTCTGTTTTTTTTTAAAGGATGAGGAAAAATATTTTTTAATGTAAGCGGATTGTGAAATCAAAATTCTATAGTTTGAGTACACAAAATGTCTTAAAGGTGTGAAATTTTTAGAGATTTTATGCATTTATACAGCAAAACTTTGTATATTTGTTACCATTATTTTTTTAAAGTGCATGAAAATTTAAGAGGAGTTAGGCCAAGAAGTGTCTGTAACATTATTGCAGTGACTCCTCCTCGCCAAGTCAGAAAATGTAATATATCTCATGTGCTGATAAAAGTGAGACATTTCCCTTTGTATTGCTGTAAATAAGCACAGTTTCAATTTTTTCCCTATGAAAATTGTCTCACTTTCTGTTAAGAAATTTATCTTTTTGAGACAAAAAATCTCTCTTAGAATTTCATTAGCATTATAAAAATTATAGAGATTGGATTTATCAATTACAGCAAAACAACTAACTGAAGAGGCTATCTATTTAAAATGGGATATGCCTTTGTGGAGAATTCTCTGTGTGAATCAACCCATATTTATTTTTCATGTGAGGAAAATCATAAAAATCAATGTATTTTGTCCATTTAGTTGCAGAGGGTAGAAAATTATTTGCACGTAATTGTAGTTGGCAGTAGAAAGAGAGCAGATAGTGGATAACATAAGCATCAGAGGGAAGTGAGAGTTGTTGCAAAAGCAGCACAGGAGCAAGAGTTTATTAATAAATACAAAAGTAATAAATATTGGACAGTGTAAAACATCACAAAATGCTGAGTCAGTTGGCATAGTCATGTACTCAGATTTTTAGTGTATGATGTCTATGATATATCAATAATATGAACTGTGATAGAACCATATAAGTGTCCTTATTTTTAACATAAAGTTACCATAATACAGACTCATTAGAGTTTTCAAACTTTTGTTAGTAAGTTTTTCATAATTATGGTGCCCAAAGTTATGTTTAAGCATTGATTTACACAGATAGTAAGTACAGACTTTTTCAGGTAGTTACTACTATGTTAAACCTTCCACATATCATCTTGATGGGTTTCTTAAAACTGTTTATTAAAGTGTGACTAACATGTTGCACCTTCCACGTATCTTCATGAGTTTCATAACACTGCTTACTAAAATATTTTATCCAGAAGAAAATTTGAATTTTGGTTTCAGGATGAAAAGAAATAGCAGGAAGTTCTGAAACTGTAGGTGATTTAGAAGTTGACCAAGTTTCTTTAATTATATTATCTTTTGAATTTTTAACTTAAGATTTACGTGTAATTAACAATTGAGATTCAGTTTGAGTACCCATTGCTGGGCTGGCTTCTTAATCCACATTAGCCATCTTCTGAAAACAAAACTAAAGCAATATCTAACATTTCAATCTCTTCGAATAATAACATGTAACTTAATGTGATAGTCTGTAATAAATTAACTTCAAAATGTAGGTCATTGTCTTATTTTTGAAAACATATTAAAAAAAGTAGTAAAATTTAAATACTGAGCATCATAAAGAAGAAGACATACTGAATGTGAAATCGTATACAAAAATGCACTAAATATTATACTTAAAAACAAGGGAGCAAAAATGATAATGAAACTTCAAAATTAGTAATAAATAATGGTGACAGAAGTTATGAATATGAATGAAGATACAAGATTTAATGCATAAAAAATAATAGAAAATTTTAGCATGGGGGAGGGGGCCAGGCTGCGGCACATCAAATTTGGTGTTCTTTTTAGATAATGATTTTATTTTGGTAACCTTACTTACGTTGTTCATGATCATGGTCACTCTCTAGCGCTGAAATTGTGGATTTGTATAATTTTTTTAGTGAAAGCAGGTTACTGTGTACATGGAAGGAACAACAGTGCAACAAAATTATGGGAGTTCTTGTGGAAGTTAAGTGCACAATGCTAAGTTTGTGCATGACGCCGAGTTTGTGCAAATCTCTCTCTTTTTTCCTCTATCCAAGATTCACATATTGAGTGAGTGCCACCAAGGAAGCTCACTGACCTGGCCTTAGCCTTACAGTGTGTTAGCTTCCTGGAAGAAACCATTTACTCTCTGCTCCACTCAGCCTTAGGAACACAGCCGAATAGGCAGCTAAGAGCCTTGCAAAGTTTACAAGTAAGCTTGAATGTTGTTGCTCGGGGAAAGCATAGCCTGTTAGAACTACTTATACATAATGCTTAGCTGTTATTAAACAAAGAAACAATCAAAAGATTCTTAAGAATCACTGTTAGAATAAAACAGAAACTTGTGTTAAGTAAAGTATGGAAATGAGGACTGTGCCTGAAAAATTAATTACCATGGACTGTCTGAACTTGCCAAATGTCATATTTGCGGATGCTAATCCTGACACAACTGTTATATATTTATTGTGTTGTGTGTAATATTGTTGGTCTGGCTTGAAGAAAAGACATAACATATTAAATTATTGCGCATAATAAAGTCAAAGAAAAAAAAATCCTAGCGCCTAAACATAATTTAGCGCAGAAGATTACTTTCCATGTGCCTGACTCTTATGTAAAACATTTAAAATATTGTGTACCTATTATCAGTAAGATAATTTCGTTCTTTGCGCAAACTTAAACTGGAGTTGTTCACAAATTGAACCATGCATCTACATTTTCTTTCGTAATACTTGCAGACAGGATAATACATACATAAGTACAAAACTGAATATTAAGGTAAAAATATCAAACATGATACTGAGCACAGGAATACGAGAAAGCGGATTCCTGAAACCTTCATGCATAACACTTAAATAATATATACACATGCATTAAAAGTAAAACTGATAAGCATAATATATAAAACTGATCACTAAGTAATGCTAAGTAGTCTAAAACCTTGTAAAGAACAAATTAACTTTCATAGTACATGCATAGAAGTAAATACACACTTGAGTACGTTGAAGTGAACATTAACAGAAAAGTACAGCTATACTCAGTAAAACTGATATCTGATTCCTAAAACTTGAATACATAATGCTGAGCTGTTATTACTAAGAGAAAAGAAGACCTTGCCTAAATTAATTCCTTAGTTACTTTTATCATCTTAGTATGTGCATATAATTTATGAAAAAAAAAAAAAAAACAACATAATTGAGCATTTAATGCTGATCACTAGGGAGAGATTCAAACGTACAGCTGATCACATAAATACAGATATCTGTTCCCTGGTATTTACATAAAAATTGAACATTTGTTATTGTTAAGAAGGGAAAAATGCCATACCAAGAGTAATATCGTTTGTAAACTGTGTTGTTTGTAAACATAATTTGAGGTGGTAATATAAGTTGACCTTGCACTTGCTTGAAACTACTTATTACTAACTTATAATTAAAATAAACAAATAGTAAGTGTAGGAAAAACACACTGCATTTGAAGATTTTACAGACTCAATATTAGTCTTCCTTCTTTCGAGTACTGGACCTATACAATAACTGCAAAAGTAACATTTTTAAAGAATATAGGCAGGTTGTTGCCATAGGCCTAATAATCTAAGTTAGTCTTGGGCTGAGAGGTCCGAGGTGTGTGCCCGCATAATTAACACATTGGTTTAGTCTGTCTTGTCTATTTTGTCACTCGCAGCACTAAGTGGGGTGCTCCTGTATTCCTTCCTGTGCAGGGACACTTCGATGTGTTAGAGAATACTTCCTCTGACTGTGGCTGATTACGCCTTGTAGCTTTTTATTTGCTGTTTTGTTTGTTCTTATGTTGGCCCCCCATTATGGCGAGTAAGCTTGACATGCTTTTCTTATATGGTATTGTGCAGTGGAAGATGTAGTGATCTGGATCCCTAACCTCTCCACAGTGACATCTTTCTGTGTCACTCGGGCTGAATCTATGCAGATAGGCCAGGAAAGGGCAATGATCTGTGTAAAACTGTATCTGATTGCAACTATTGCAATTTAG